GCTAATATTACTGCTACTCTTGCTAATATTACTGCTACTCCTCCTAATATTACTGCTACTCCTGCTAATGTTTCTGCTACTCCTGCTAATATTTCTGCTACTCCTGCTAATGTTACTGCTACTACTGCTAATATTTCTGTTACTCCTGCTAATATTACCGCTGCTGCCAGTGCTGCCTCTACGACTACAGCCACCTCTGCAACTATTACATAAATGATACAGTCTATACCCTCATCATCCAAAGTTACTGAGCATACATCCTCATGTCGCAGGTTTCACTCCTAGACGGGTTAGAATTGATCTTCAGTAACCCATGCTTGTCGTAGGAGGCGACTAACGGGATCGGGTGGTCAGGCTCGCTGACTTGGTTGACACTTATCATCGTATCCATGTTGCGTAGATCGATGCTAATGCTGTTGATCACTGGATTGTCTGGTCCAGCCCCAATTATTTACAGACCGCCACCATATATCTGGAATATTGCTGAGTGCGGCGTAAAACTAAACTCACTCACCCGTAGATTTGCACAAGTCTCTTAGGTAATAATTAATAGTTTAAATGCTGATTTCTAAAAAAATAAAAATATCACTGTGACAGACTGGCGTCCTTACTGCTTATCTAGTCAATTTTTAAAGGATATAATTACACCATACATCCATGGTCAAATCCTATATTACAGCCTTGGAGCCCCTTTGACTATCAATTATTTCAAGACAAAGAAGACATTTTCGAAAAAATTAGGTAAAATTCAAATGAATGACATCGTGATTACACGACACACGCAGTTTGCAGACTCAGCAAATTTATAACCTCAGGGGGACCACGCTACGGTAGCACAAGACCATGTATTTTAAACTATGGTATTGTGGTAGAGGACGCGGACTCGTTCGTCGACTGAAGTTACAATGTTCACACACAGCCGTATAACCACGCATGACACTACGCTTAATAACAACTATATACGTCTGAGGTCGACTTTGCTACTCGACATAATTGTATTGTAAATGTTGTACCGCTCGGAAACTCCTCTCCCACCTCAGTGTCAAGTGGGCCCATATTTGGTGTTATATCAAATAGCTTACAGCTGGGCGAGTTTAATATCCTCAACATGGGCCGTACTCTCTGCTCTCGAGCCCACGTCAAGCACATGTTTTTCTCCGTTCCTCTCAACGTGTACAACTTTGTACTTGGTTTAAAGCATTGTCCGAAGAGAGCTGGTGGACCAGTTCAAACCGAATCTGCCCTGTTGATTCCGGACAAGTTCAATGACGTCATGCTATTATGTAATGGTCATGTGACTGCCCCTGATCTATTCCCCTATTCCAAATTTAACACGTGTGAAGTATGTTATGTGCACCCCGTCGCTGTTGAACTGGACAGTGGTCAGGAGTGGATATTACACGTGAGTAGCGCTTTGTTCAGGCCGCGTGTATCACATTTACTATGCCACCAGTTTGTTTGTCTTTAACGTACTTAAATGCTCAGTTTTTCCCGCTTTAAAGTTTGACACACATCAACCCATTGCTTCAGTTGATCGCCGCAGACTAGTGCAGTAAGAGTGTCAGGATTAAGGAATTGGATGGTATGCTTAATGATAATGTTTTCCTTCCACCACCCCCACCACCCCCACCAACCGTCACCGTCGCTACTATCCCCACTACTCGTCACCATAACCATCCCCCACCGACCGTCACCATCGCTACTATCCCCACTACTCGTCACCATAACCATCCCCCACCAACCGTCACCGTCGCTACTATCCCCACTACTCGTCACCATAACCATCCCCCACCAACCGTCACCATCGCTACTATCCCCACTACTCGTCACCATAACCATCCCCCACCAACCGTCACCGTCGCTACTATCCCCACTACCCGTCACCATAACCATACCACTACCCACCCACCCCAACCTCCAACCGTCACAGTCCGTACTATCCCCATAAGCCCCGTCACCATAACCATCCTGCCATCCCCCACCAACCGTCACTATCACCACCCCTTCCACCTCCCTTAAATCAACTTCAGGGACACAACTATATCTCCCCTACCCCAACTACCACCCCAGCTCCCTAAACCCTGCCCAACACCCCACCCCCTGCCGCCAAGGCCCTGTTGCGAGGTATGAGATTGAACTAGAGCGACATGGTATATTTACCGCAACACTTCCTCCTCTATTCTTAGCAAACACCGCGTTCCAATCAACAGTCCCATTTCCGAGGAATCGTTTTTAACTGCTTTCACATTGATGATTGTATTACCTTCAGCTTGTGTACAACTGATCAACAACGTTATGTCCTTTTCCTGGAAAATTGCAACATACTTTGTAATGCGCACGATAGTATCTAAACACGGGTCATGTGGCCCTTGTAGCGACAGCCAGTTCTAGTTACTGTTTACAGAAGCCTCTGCATGTTACCTGTTCTCTGTACCGCGGACACTCCAGTATGTAAAGGGACCGCTCTCTCAATGGCATCCGGGAATTACACTATCTGAGGATAGTGCTCCTACGCCCCGTGGGATAGTGCTTCCGGGATCTGCACGCAGTGTGCAGGGTCTTATATTAACTGGGGATAGTGAACCCGAGACGTACACTACCAGACGGTAGTGCACCCGAGAGCTAAACTAACTGTGGATAGCGCACCCGAGACCTACACTAACTGGGGATAGTGCACCCGAGACCTACACTAACTGGGGATAGTGCACCCGAGACCTACACTAACTGTGAATAGTGCAACTGAGACCTATACTAACTGGGGATAGTGCACCTGAGACCTACATTAACTGTGGATAGTGCACCCGAGACCTACACTAACTGTGAATAGTGCACCCGAGACCTACATTACACCCGGGATGTACACTAAATGTGGATAGTGCACCGGAGACCTACTCTGTCTTAGGGTAGTGCATCAGGAACCTACAGTAACTGGGGATACTGCACCCGGAACCTACACTGCCTGGGGACAATGCACCCGACACATACATTATCTGGGTTTAGTGCTCCCTAAACTACCTAAACTACCAACTCGACTTGTACAGATATCCGTATATATATATAGGCGGTATTGCCACTATAGTTCGGGGCAAGTAATACGGTATGACGATACATCACAGATCCGTTCACCGAGGTCCCATGGTATATGACTGTCATCGCGTTCCTTAGCAACAGTTTAACAAATTAACCAAGGATAAATCCATTGGAGAGTGCCGTTATGTTATCCTGGGAGGGAACCCGTGAAGGTCCGGGTTTCAACTGATCTTCAGTAACCCATGCTTGTCGTAAGAGGCGACTAACGGGATCGGGTGGTCAGGCTCGCTGACTTGGTTGACACATGTCATCGGTTCCCCAATTGCGCAGATCGATGCTCATGCTGTTGATCACTGGATTGTCTGGTCCAGACTCGATTGTTTACAGACCGCCGTCATATAGCTGGAATATTGCTGAGTGCGGCGTAAAACTAAATTCACTCACTCATGTGAGGGACACCAAGAATGGTCTTTACATATACTGAGGGAAACAAATAAGGGAACATCACTTCATGACGGTGTTAATTTATTTATTCTCAGATTTCCTCCCAAAGCTCTATTCAAAGCTGGTGATGAAAACTTGAAACTATTAAAGGAACGCTTGAATGTTCCAGTGTTCCTTTATTTGTTTCTCTCAGTATATTATGGTACTCCTGTTGGAAATCTCATCCCAAATATTCAGCCTGATGAGCAAGCCCTGGTTCCGGCGCATTCACGGTTCGCTCCAGTTCATTATATTTATTTATGCATGAGGCAATCCGATAATATCCCTCTGTTCGAACTTAGAAACCCCCGACTTGTTCCAGCCGCCTTTTGTAGTTGAAGGAAGTAGTTGGCGATTAATTGTGTCATAATCGGAAAGCAGAACACAAGCAATCAATTGTATGTTTATTCACGCTAGACTTTCACATAGAAATATCCGTCTGCCTTTTTTGATGACATCCCTGAAATTTAGGAAGTTTAAAGTAATCTGAACAAAGCGAACATGTAACAAAAAGCACAACAGACCAGCTAAAAAAACAACAAGAACAAAAACAGAAAAAAAACAGTCACATTCAAGACGGTCACAAACAACAAAGTCACAATCAAGACAGTCACAAACACACAGTCACATTCAAGACAGTCACAAACAACACAGTCACAATCAAGACAGTCACAAACAACACAATGACAACAACAAAGTTAGAACAGAACGTTCGTACTTTATTTCAAGCAGGTACTTCGTCATACACAAGTGTTAATTGCCTTCATGCTTAACATATACTTACTGTGTTAAACCAAACCGTCTTCACCAGAAGGAGGACCCAGTGCGCGAGGAAGACTGGCAAGTTGTTAATATCATGTGGGGCTATATTGTTGGGATACTGTCCACTCACCTTTATATCTGTTTGCCTCTATGTCTAATTATTTCCAGCAATATTTACTATTTGTCACTATTTCATACTGTTTAACTTTCTTTCCCAGTATTTCGCTTTCACCCGTGAAGATCCGGGTTAGAATATTGATCTTCAGCAACCCATGCTTGTCGTAAGAGGCGACTAACGGGATCGGGTGGTCAGGCTCGCTGACTTGGTTGACATATGTCATCGGTTCCCAAATGCGCAGATCGATGCTCATGCTGTTGATCACTGGATTGTCTGGTCCAGACTCGATTATTTACAGACCGCCGCCATATAGCTGGAACATTGCTGAGTGCGGCGTAAAACTAAACTCACTCACTCACTCACTATTTCGCATTCATTTCTATTTCTCCCTATTTCATTATATTATAACCATTTCTGGTTATTTCCTGAAGTTTTTCACTATTTTTACTATTTCGTACTTTTATACCCATACTCTTACCCCTTATCATTCATGTTTTCTGTCATTTCTCTCCAATTCTCGCTATTTGCTAGTGTATTTCACCATTTCCCACTATTTGTTCACCATTGCCCACGGTTTTTTATATTACCTGGCGTGTTTGTGTTTCAGACACAACAATATGGACGAGGAGAGTTGCATCCTTGCCTGAGATCCTTCACTGAGGGCCGGTGATCTCCCCTGGAGATCCGACAACCACCGGACCAGACCGTGACCATTCCCCGGGCCACCCTCGTCATGGCAGATCCCCGGAAGAGACACGGGTCCACGGACTCCTCTGCTTCGACCGACAGCGACTACATCCCAACCCCTCCTGACGGAGGGTGGGGCTGGGTCATTGTGGCCAGCTCCCTCGTCTGCAACATCGTTGTCGACGGTATCGGATACAGCTTTGGCATCTTTCTGCTCGAATTCGTTGACTTTTTTAAAGAAAAGAGAAGAGTACAGTGGCGCTGGTGGGATCGCTCCTGTGTGGAACGTACCTTACTGCAGGTAGGTTGCTCCTTTTGGGGGTGGGTAGACCGTGCTCTCAGGGGGGATTGGTGTCCAGTTGGCCACTCTCCGAGAAGTAGGGAGAAAGTTGGAGGTCGTGTAGGCAGCTTCCCCAGAGGGAGAGAATTGGAGGTTGTGTAGGCAGCTCCCCTAGAGGGATGGGATTGGTAGTCGTACGCGTGTAGGCAGCTGTCCTAGTGGGAGAAAGTTGGAGGTCGTGTAGGCAGCTCTTCTAGAGGAAGGGAATGGTGGACGTGTAGGCAGCTCTCCTGGAGGAAGGGAATGGTGGTCATGTAGGCAGCTCCCCTAGAGGGAGGGAATGGTGGTCGTGTAGGCAGCTCTACTAGAGGGAGGAATGGTGGTCGTGCAGGCAGCTGTCCTAGAGGGAGGGAATGGTGGTCGTGTAGGCAGCTGTCCTAGAGGAAGGGAATGGTGGTCGTGTAGGCTGCTCCTCTAGAAGAAGGCAATGGTGGTCGTGTAGGCAGCTGTCCTAGAGGAAGGGAATGGTGGTCGTGTAGGCACCTGTCCTAGTTGAAGGCAATGGTGGTCATGTAGGCAGCTCTACTAGAGGAAGGGAATGGTGGTCGTGTAGGCAGCTCTGCTAGAGGAAGAGAATGGTGGTCATGTAGGCAGCTGTCCTAGAGGGAGGGAATGGTGGTCGTGTAGGCAGCTCTCCTAGAGGTAGGGAATGGTGGTCGTGAAGGCAGCTGTCCTAGAGGGAGGGAATGGTGGTCGTGTAGGCAGCTGTCCTAGAGGGAGGGAATGGTGGTCGTGAAGGCAGCTCCTCTAGAGGGAGGGAATGGTGGTCGTGTAGGCAGCTCTCCTAGAGGGAGGGAATGGTGGTCATGTAGGCAGCTCTGCTAGAGGGAGGGAATGGTGGTCGTGTAGGCAGCTGTCCTAGAGGGAGGGAATGGTGGTCATGTAGTCAGCTGTCCTAGAGGGAGGGAATGGTGGTCGTGAAGGCAGCTCTGCTAGAGGAAGGGAATGGTGGTCATGTAGGCAGCTCCCCTAGAAGGAGGGAATGGTGGTCGTGTAGGCAGCTCCCCTATAGGTAGGAATGGTGGTCGTGTAGGCAGCTGTCCTAGAGGAAGGCAATGGTGGTCATGTAGGGAGCTCTCCTAGAGGAAGGGAATGGTGGTCGTGTAGGCAGCTGTCCTAGAGGGAGGGAATGGTGGTCATGTAGGCAGCTCCCCTATAGGTAGGAATGGTGGTCGTGTAGGCAGCTGTCCTAGAGGGAGGGAATGGTGGTCATGTAGGCAGCTCCCCTATAGGTAGGAATGGTGGTCGTGTAGGCACCTGTCCTAGAGGGAGGGAATGGTGGTCATGTAGGCAGCTCCCCTATAGGTAGGAATGGTGGTCGTGTAGGCAGCTCCCCTAGAAGGAGGGAATGGTGGTCATGTAGGCAGCTCCCCTATAGGTAGGAATGGTGGTCGTGTAGTCAGCTGTCCTAGAGGGAGGGAATGGTGGTCATGTAGGCAGCTCCCCTATAGGTAGGAATGGTGGTCGTGTAGGCAGCTCCCCTAGAGGGAGGGAATGGTGGTCGTGTAGGCAGCTCTGCTAGAGGGAGGGAATGGTGGTCGTGTAGACAGCTCTGCTAGAGGAAGGGAATGGTGGTCGTGTAGGCAGCTGTCCTAGAGGGAGGGAATGGTGGTCATGTAGGCAGCTCCCCTATAGGTAGGAATGGTGGTCGTGTAGGCAGCTCCCTAGAGGGAGGGAATGGTGGTCGTGTAGGCAGCTCTGCTAGAGGAAGGGAATGGTGGTCGTGTAGGCAGCTGTCCTAGAGGGAGGGAATGGTGGTCATGTAGGCAGCTCCCCTATAGGTAGGAATGGTGGTCGTGTAGGCAGCTCCCCTAGAGGGAGGGAATGGTGGTCGTGTAGGCAGCTCTGCTAGAGGAAGGGAATGGTGGTCGTGTAGGCAGCTGTCCTAGAGGGAGGGAATGGTGGTCATGTAGGCAGCTCCCCTATAGGTAGGAATGGTGGTCGTGTAGGCAGCTCCCCTAGAGGGAGGGAATGGTGGTCGTGTAGGCAGCTCTGCTAGAGGAAGGGAATGGTGGTCGTGTAGTCAGCTGTCCTAGAGGAAGGGAATGGTGGTCGTGTAGGCAGCTGTCCTAGAGGGAGGGAATGGCGATCATGTAGGCAGCTCCCCTATAGGTAGGAATGGTGGTCGTGTAGGCAGCTCCCCTAGAGGGAGGGAATGGTGGTCGTGTAGGCAGCTCTGCTAAAGGGAGGGAATGGTGGTCGTGTAGACAGCTCTGCTAGAGGAAGGGAATGGTGGTCGTGTAGGCAGCTGTCCTAGAGGGAGGGAATGGTGGTGATGTGTCTATGTTTATAATACCTCATTCATAATGTCAGATTTGTTTGAATTTTTCAACTTTGATATGTCTTTCTGAGGTACTATCTGGACATTAAAATAAAGCAGTTCTTCGTAATGTATTGAATGTATTTTTGTTTTCGATAGTGCTGCACGGTATAACCGGTATACCGGTATATCGCAATACGCTTTTCAAACGATATGTATTGCAATAAGTTTTTCTGAGAACCGGTACATTGGGTAAAAAACGTATGAGGTGTTTGTGATGATGTTTATGGTTTAGTTTAAAATACACACACTTTCATTCACAAACAATGTTTTCATTCCTTCTTCAGTGAATAGAACCCTCACTATGCAACTTTATTTTGAGATTGCTGTTATCAGAACCATAACATATATGTTTAGGGACTTATAATGTAGAAAATAGGATTGAAATGCACAATTAGTGTCACACACTGTTAAACACTGAAGTTCCCAATATCTCGCAATACGTATCGCAATACGAGTACCTGAATCGCAATATATTGCGATACAATTTATTTGCCAATACACAGCCTTACTTTTCGATTTCTCGCTGATAATTGTGTCAATTGAAATGATTTCAATATATTGTGAAAATCAAAATGAAACGTCAAAATGAAAAAAGCACGACCAACATGCCTCCGAATATGTAACTAAATTATGATATGTTTGTATAAATTGTATCAAAGTGTATGAACTACATGTATATGAAACTAGGTTCTCGACCTCATAACACAGTAATACGTTGCTTTGAACAAGGTCTATGGTCTTGCAAAGATATTGTTTTATACTGTGGATCGGATACGCTTCCATTGTAGCATATTCAAGCGAAGTGCTTCGACATCTTCCCCGGTTTTGAACAACATAATAAATACAAACAAGTTTTTTATGGCTTAATCTCAGATACATGTACTTTGGAACCGACCACATCGTATTCGAGATCGACCTGTCATAGTGTTGTATTTACATGTTTTATGAAGCAATATTCACATTCATATGAAGCAATATTCACATTTTATATGAAGCAATATTCACATTTTATATGAAGCAATATTCACATGTTATATGAAGCAATATTCAAGTGTTATATGAAGTAATATTCATATGTTCTATGAAGCAATATTCAAATTCATATGAAGCATTATACACATTTTATATGAAGCAATATTCACATTTTATATGAAGCAATATTCACATGTTATATGAAGTAATATTCATATGTTCTATGAAGCAATATTCACATTTTATATGAAGCAATATTCACATGTTATATGAAGCAATATTCAAGTGTTATATGAAGTAATATTCACATGTTATATGAAGCAATATTCACATTTTATATGAAGCAATATTCACATGTTATATGAAGCAATATTCAAGTGTTACATGAAGTAATATTCATATGTTCTATGAAGCAATATTCACAGTTACATGCATATGACGCAATGTCCAAATTATATATGAAGCAGTGTTCACAGTTGTATGAAGCAATGTCCAAATTGTATATGAAGCAATGTTCACAGTTGTATAAAGCAATATTCAAATGTTATATGAAGCAGTAATCATATGTTACATGAACAAATATTCACACACCGCGTTTCTCTCCAGGACCAATCGTCAGTGCGCTGACCAACAGGTTCGGCTGCCGAGCTGTGGCCACGTGCGGGAGCGTCATCGCCGCGGCGTCATTCCTCCTCAGCATGGGGGCTCAGTCCGTCAACATCCTCATGGTGACGTACGGCGTCATGGGAGGTACGTCGACGTATGCATTGTGTGAAGTGTGTGGCTGTTTATGATACACATTAATCTCTGTGTTGAGTAATTAGCAAGCGATGTCGTCATTTTATAGCGTTTAAAACTAGAAAAGGCGGAAGAATATTGTATCAATTGAATGATCAGCTTACAGAATAGCTACAATAACCCTGCATGTGTGTTTTCTAAATCGTCCAAGCCTTATGTCCTTCTGTAATTCAGGCGTCGGGCTCGGTATGGCCTACCAGCAGTCAGTCGCCCAATCTTTACATATCCTAGTAATATAGATATACTCAACAAAAAAAGTTAAGGACCAGCCCAATATTCATTATGTAAGTATTATATTGATCTTAATATGAACTATTAAATACTTTAGTGTTGAAAATTGGGGTCGTCCTGAACTTTTTATGTTGAGAATATATTCTATCGTGTCATAAATGTATTCTATGATTTCAGTCACTAGTCTCGATATGGTGCCGTCACTCTTATGGATAATTTATATTCCAATATGTCATAAACATCTTCTATAATTTCAGGATTTGGTCTCGGTATGGTGTACCTGCCGTCTATCGTCAGCGTGGGGTACTACTTTGAGAAGAAGCGGGCCTTGGCAACGGGTATCGCAGTCTGTGGTTCGGGAATTGGCACGTTCATTTTCGCACCTCTCTCTAAATTCCTTCTGGACGAATATGATTGGAAGAGCGCCTTAATGATAATTGCAGGAATCATCCTCCAATGTGCCGTGTGTGGAATGCTGATGAGACCATTGGAAGTCATTCAAAAGCCGAAGAAGAAAAGACCGCGTGCCAAAAACATGATGGACAGAATCAAAGAGCAAGCCAAGTCCAAACGTTTCCGGTCTGAGTCCGAATGTAGTGCGTACTTATACAGCGTACGTGACAACAACAGCATACTCGAGAGAGTGATGGAAGCGAAGCTGTTACGGGAGAAGCAGCTAGAAGATGACTCGGAGGTTGGGTCGTTACCCAGTATGATCTTCATCAAGGCGAGGCAGGGGTCCCGAGATGCGCGGATCCACAAACTGTCATTGTCCGACCGGGGCGACGTAGCTAGCCACCAGGGAGATGCGGCCAGTCATGCCGGCGATACGACTAGCCATCCGGGGAGTCCGGGGAGTGTCCCCAAGATCGTGGTGCAGGACAACGAGGTTGCTCCCGTCCCCAACGATGAAGCAAGGCTGTCTCTGACAACAGAGTCAGCCGTAGGGGACGGCACGGCGACAGAGCCATCAGAGTATGCCACACCCCCTACCTCTCCCCCCAACTCCCCGCCTGAAGTTAGCTCCCCTAGCAGCCCGGAGGAAGGCATATCCAAATCGAGGCCAATTGAAACTGACCTTGAAAACAAGAAGGCATCTGTGGTTATCAAGAACTGCACTAACGGGAGTTTACCTAACGCTATTCACAATACACATGAAGGAATCCCGTTACTTAACGTTCCAGAAGGCAAGGTGGTCAAGGCGAATCAGAACGGGACCCACGGTTATGTTGGTAAATCGGCCAAATCGCTGATTGCCTCGCACAGAAGCCTTCACGCTTCCAAGGAAGACTTTGCTCGACCTTTGTACCGGAAGGACATATTTTATAGCGGAAGTGTGTTAAATATTCCCCAGTTCCGGTCACAGCCGGATGTGAGAAGTTACATCACCAGCATTACGACGATTCCCGGCGAGATTGCCCCAGAGAAGGAGTCCCCCGTGTGGCAGCTTTGCACGTGTGTTCCTAAATCAGCCAAGGACACTTTGCAAGAGATGATGGACCTGTCACTACTGAAGGGAGCCAATTTTGATCTCCTGTGTTTCGGGAACGTTCTCGCCTTCCTCGGCTTCTACGTTCCCTTTGTGTACATCGTCGACAGAGCAATCCTGGAGGGGATTTCCAAGAGTGAAGCGGCCTTCCTTGTCTCTGTCATAGGTATGTGAGTGAGTGAGTTTTAGTTTTACGCCGCTTTTAGTATTCAAGCAATATCACGGCGAGGGACTACAGAAATGGGCTTCACACATTGTACCAATGTGCGGATTCGAACCAGGGTCTTCGGTGTCACGAGCGAACACTTTAACCACTAAGCTACCCCACCTCCTCACCAGGTATGTCATGCACGGACGTGATGCACGGTCACAAAACTCACGTGTACGTGACAGCGGGCATTTTTAGGCTGGGAAAGTTCACTGGGGCAAAATGGTGGGCTGGAGAAAGAATATACTTGAAACTTGGATTTTACCCAAATCACAAACGTTATCAACACATGTCAAAGCTGAAAACTGCAAGCAAAACACAGCAAATCTAAGGTCCAAAACGCATAAATGATATAAAATGAATTTATGTGAGTTCTTTTCAATTTTTCGCTGAAAATTGTATCAACTGAAATATATTCAGTATGTTGAGAAAAACAAAATGCAACGTTAAAATGAAAAAGCATGACAACATGCCTCCGAATTCCCATATCAAATACATCTCCATGGAAGAGTCATTTGTATATTTCACTACAAGTCTACATCAGACACGGATTCAACCTTTTACTTTTGTACATCAGTTAATCACCCTCGGACCCGTGAAGGTCCGGGTTAAAAGGAACCTTCAGTAACCCATGCTTGTCGTAAGAGGCAACTAACGGGATGGGCGGGTCAGACTCGCTGGCTTGGTTGACATACGTCATCGGTTCCCAATTGCGCAGATCGATGCTTATGATGTTGATCACTGGATTGTCTGGTCCAGATTCGATAATTTACAGACCGCCGCCATATAGCTGGAATATTGCTGAGTGTGGCGTAAAACTAAACTCACTCACACACTAATAACCCTCAGTATTGGATATGGACATATAAAACGTGAGCGTCAGTGCTAACGAATGCTCTGTCTCGACCATTCTCAGAAACAGATCATTGCCCTGCTATCTACTTAGTCTCAGGGTTTCGGTAGCGGGGCTATATTTTTATGCCCCTTTAAATGTGACTAAATAAAACTCCGTTAATTCGAACCCCGATAATCCAGAAAATTATACAGCCAGGAATATCCTTGCCAGACTACCGCTTAGTCCCTGAAAATATATAATATTGATAGTAACATAAAAAACCCTTTAAACTGAAAAGGAGCCCAAGAGGTGAAATATAGCCTTGCTTCACTTAGGGCTTTAGCATTGCTGGGTGGATCGGAAAATAATGTGGTTCAGGGACTGTAAGACAGACTATATCCTTTCATGTATAAAGAAACATTGCTCCGTACCCAGTATTCGTTAACCGGGAATTGGAACATCCGATCAGTGTGCTTAAAACTGTCCGGAACAGCAAGAGTGTTTCTATTACAGAGTGCTTTCTTTTATCCCAGCATTGTCTTTTGACTAGGTCTCAAGATAGTTTTTTTGTTTTCTGGCAGGTATCACAAATACGATTGGGCGGATCTTGGCCGGGTGGTTGGCGGACCTGCCCAAGGTGGACGCCCTGTTGGTGAACAACGTTTCCATGGTGATAGCAGGGGTGGCAACAATCGTCATGCCGTTTTGTGGGTCGTCATACGCAGCCCTCGTCGTCATGTCCTCCATATTTGGGGCAGGCGTTGGTGAGATGAACGTCATAGTAACATGTTTGTCAGTTGTATAGACTAAAGCTTAGTCTTTGAATATATATAATTTTGATAGAAGCAAACAATTCTTTTTATACTGAAAAGGAGCCCCAGAGGAAATGTAGACTTGCTTCATTTAGGGCTTTAGCAGAAGGGAAAATGATGTGGTTCAGGGCCTGTGAGGCAGACTGTCTGTTGTATTCCTCCAGCTGTTTTGTATCAGTTTATTGTATCAGCTCTATTGTATTATCACATTTAGTCTGTTTGCAGTGAAAACGTACCGATGAAGTTCACTTTAAACAAAAAAAGTAAATCAAATAAAGTGAAATTAAGATTGCGAATCCTCATAATTTGACCTTGCCAATTGAACATTTAAATCTCAGAATTTTATTCAACCTAGGATAAAAGTTGTTTAACAAACGATCATAGTTTCAAATCGCTCTTATTGGTTTGTATTACAAGGGGGGTATGCACATTAAATGAAACACCGAGAACATGTGGGGCTGGTCTAAATTAACGCTCATTATGAACCGCACTTGCATTTGTTTTACTGTTCCAACTACTGCGCTTACCCCTTGTAATACAAACCAATAAAAGAGACTTGAACTATGATCGTTTGTTAAACAACTTTTATTCTAATTTGAATAAAATTCTGAGTTTTAAATGTTCAATTGGCAAGATCGAATTATGAGGATTCGCAATCTTAATTTCACTTTATTTGAATTACTTTTGTGTTTAGAGTGACATTCATCGGTACGTTTTCACTGCAAACAGACTATAGTATACGTTCAACAAGTCAGGGACGCAAGTTGCATTGCTCATGTCAGTGGAATCCCTGCGAACCAAAGGGACCTTCTCGAACATCCGGGTTACAGCTCTTCTTCAGCAACTCGCTTGTCGCGAAAGGCGACTTATGGGATCGGGTTGCCATTCTTGGTTGACGTTTGTCATCGTGTCCTTATCGGTGCTCATAATGTCAATCACTCGGTTATTTACTGACAACTGTCACATGGATGGAATATTGCTGCGTTTCACAACAAACACAGAAGATGTATAGGGCTTTTTTCGACCAAATTGGTTCCATAACGACCATGTTTGTCAGTTCTGTCCAATTTCATGATGGTAACAATTTATCAGTTTTCCTCCTTATTCTACAGGGCCATGGGGTAGCCTAGTCGTTAAAGCGTTGGCTCGTCACGCCGAAGACCCGGGTTCGAATCCCCACATGGGTGAAATGTGTGAAGCCCATTTCTGGTGTCCCCCGCCGTGATGTTGCTGGAATATTGCTAAAAGCGGCGTAAAACCAAACTCAGTCAGTCAGTCTTTATTCTACATATACAGAGGCAGGTTTAAAACATTGCGCTAACAGGGAAACTGTAATCACAGCGTGGAATTTGCTTATCTTAAGTCTGAAAAGCAAGCATGACAGAATATCTTTACGTGACTAAATTTTGGTGTTGGATTTCTCATTTTAACGTCAATACTGAAACGCCGTATTGTTCAGTATAAACCCACACACATTTGATTAACTGAAATCATCCCAATGCAAGTGTCTCGGAGTATATACATAGCTTGCATAACTGAACGTACCTCACTGTTTGTTTGTTGTTTAACGCCGCACTCAGCAATATTCCAGCTATGTGGTGGTTGTCTGTAATTAATCGAGTCTGGACCAGATAATCCAGTGATCCACACCACGAGCACCGATCTACGCAACTGGGATACGATGACATGTGTCAACCAAGTCAACGAGCCTGACTACCCGATCCCGTTAGTCGCCTCTTACGACAAGCATGGGTTACTGAAGATCAATTCTAACATAGTTGAGTGACAGAGTGGTAGTGTCCTTTTTAAGTTTACAAATGATATGAATCATTTAATTCTAACTCGGATCTTCACAGGTCGTACCTCACTGATCGCAACCCCCGTTTTACAAGCATTCTCTGTATCACTCACTTTTATCCATTAAAGTATTTCTGCATTAATATAGGTTTTCTTGAAGTAACCAAATTTGCTTGGACGTCACGTTATTTGTCACGTAGACGACTTTTTTCTAACGCTTTTTTTTCAAATATGTTGACCATGAAACTTCTAAGTTGTTCTTTGTTGTCCTGGGGAAAATCCAAAAATATTATTCAATGCGCAAATGGTCAAAATGTCTCATTGTCCCCTTTAGTTAATTGGGGCGGTGGGGCAGCCTAGTGGGTAAAGCGTTCGTTTGTCATGCCGAAGAGCCGAGCTCGATTCTCCACATGGGTACATTTCTTGCGTCCTCCGCCGTGACATTGCTGGAATATTGCTAAAAGCGGCGTAAAACCAAACTCACTCACTCATTTAGTTAATTTAAAGCCTTTTTGATTGTTTTTGTAACAACCATCTTGATAACGTGACTTCATTTAACATTCCGGGATCCATGGTTATCCAGTTCGGTGCCACGGAATCACCAGTTACTGTTTTACAATACGATGGCCCTGTGTCTGATACTGAAACAACGAAGCCCATTTCTGTCGAAAGTATTGCAGAACCTTATGTTCAAAATTTAACTACCTCGTTTCTCCGTAGGGGCGTTCATCTCCCTGTCCTCCATCCTCATCTGTGATCAACTTGGGCTTGAGAAGCTCACCAACGGCTTTGGGCTGCTCACGATGTTCAGAGGCTTCGCCGCAGTGGCCGGGCCTCCGTTAGCAGGTGCGTGCGTTAGTATGAACCAGTAAACTTTTGATAGACCTCTTTTAGCAGGTGCGTCTGTTAGTATGTATGCGGTTCATATGCCCCCGTTAGCAGGTGCGTCTGTTAGTATGTAAATGCTTGATAAACCCCCGTTAGCAGGTGCGTCTGTTAGTATGTAAATGCTTGATAGACCCCCGTTAGCAGGTGCGTCTGTTAGTATGTAAATGCTTGATAGAGCCCCGTTAGCAGGTGCGTCTGTTAGTATGTAGATGCTTGATAGACCCCCGTTAGCAGGTGCGTCTGTTAGTATGTAAATGCTTGATAGACCCCGTTTAGCAGGTGCGTGCGTTAGTATGTATGTGGTTGAGAAACCTCCGTTAGCAGGTGCGTCTATTAATATGTACTTGGTTGATACACCTCCGTTAGCAGGTGCGTTCATTAGTATGTACATGGCCAGTATTTGCATACCCTTTGTGTTTACAGTGACCTTAGACGTCCATTAGCCAGCACTTGCATACCCATAATGTTTACAGTGATCTTAGACGTCCATTAGCCACTTCCTGCATACCCATAATGTTTACAGTGATCTTAGACGCCCATTAGCCACTTCTTGCATACCCATAATGTTTATAGTGATCTTAGACGCCCATTAGCCACTTCTTGCATACCCATAATGTTTACAGTGATCTTAGACGCCCATTAGCCAGCACTTGCATACCCATAATGTTTACAGTGATCTTAGACGCCCATTAGCCACTTCTTGCATACCCATAATGTTTACAGTGATCTTAGACGCCCATTAGCCACTTCTTGCATACCCATAATGTTTACAGTGATCTTAGACGCCCATTAGCCACTTCTTGCATACCCATAATGTTTACAGTGATCTTAGACGCCCATTAGCCAGTACTTGCATACCCTTCGTGTTTACAGTGATCTTAGACGCCCATAAGCCAGTACCTGCATACCCATAATGTTTACAGTGATCTTAGACGCCCATTAGCCAGTACTTGCATACCCTTTTGTGTGAACTAGCTGATGCCTGTGGTCAGTATATTACAGACAACCTTAATTTGTGTCCATATAGGTTTCGTGTTTGACGCTACTGGGAATTACGACCCGTCATTCTACATGGGGGGCGCCCTCCTGCTAGGGGGTGCAGCGTGCCACATGCTGCTGCACCTGCCCTGTTTTGCACCCAAGCCACAGGAGATGTACGAGGATATCTTCATTGACGCTCCAGAGCAGCTGGGTCCTTCAAGCCCCCGACCCGAAACCCTCACAATGGAGGAAGCCATGAACAGCGTCTGATGACGTCATCGATCATATATCGCTGCCATCATCCCGTTCGCGTCTTTCCGTGACGTGCAAGGACCAATCGGCGTCATTCGTAACAACTCGTGTCGTTTGTCCTTGTAGGTTACGGAAATCCGTGTATGGTGACTTGATTCAGCTCGTTCCGGAATGGCGCGAGTGATCACGTGGTTTTGTTGGCATGGTCACAAGCAATGACCCAGGAAGAGAATTAGGGGAGTCTTTTATCTCATACGGCTTTATGATCTCGATATTTTGTACATTTTATATGTGATTTTCTATGAGATCGTCAAACCCAACACAATCAATCGTACACTTCCCACAACATCCATGTACCATGTATCATGTATCATGTGCCATGTACCCCATTTTAGTTTTAATGACCTTACACGGCTCACTGGGCAGGGTTGTGACGTCACACACGGTCTGTGTTTGAATCCATTGTCGAACATTTTGAATCCTGTGGGCGAAAGCACTTACTTCATAGAAAACATACATCTTTTAATCAGATACAAGAGCCGACAGTATGTTCTTGGTGTTCTGGTTTGTTGTGTCACGCCGCACTCAGCAATATTCAGCTATATGACGGCGGTCTGTAAAACAATCGCGCCAATCCAGTGATCAACAGCATGAGCATAGATATCTGCAACTGGGATACGATGACATGTACCAACCAAGTCAGCGAGTCTGAACAATCGATCCCGTTAATCGCCTCTGGTGACAAGCAAGGGTTGCTGAAGATCAATTCTAACCCGGATCTTCACGGTTTGTTTTTGGTGGTTACACGGGAATACTCAAACAGTTTTAAGGGACCCACATGTTGACAACAAAGTTATAAAAAAAATTCCTGCATATCTTATGAACAATGTAGTATTTTAGTAAATCCTGACCAGTCTTTTCAAAAAAGAATGGGCAGTTCTACAGATTATTAAAAAACATATAAACATAATCAGATGAACAGTGAATCACTGAGGGCGATAACACGTTGAGCCATATTGTTAGAGATCGATGGTTCCCAATGTGTATGATGCTTGTAATTATTGTTTTTATCGTATGACCAATAACAATAAGGAACGAAATGGGAGTTCAACCAAGATCTAACGGACAGTTTTCTAGATTAGCGTGACTGTAGACCAATCGTCTGTAGTCTTCTGTCCGAAGTTTTCTCATCTGTTTCAATGAGTATGACCGTTACTGTTATACCGTTTGATGCATTGAAACAAGGCAACTCTATGTTGTAAACAATGACTTAGATCTCAGGGCATATTTGTGTATAATGGTACACATTCAATTGTGATATGTAAACTGTCCCAGCATCATCCTCGGTAGTCAGGGGCTGTGCCGAATGTCAATGATGAACCTTGGTCTGGGATACATAATAACAATAATAATAATAATCACCCGAACCCTCTCTGCTACATACTATCTTTAATCTGTGAAACATAATAATAATAATAATAATAATAATAAGGGTTATTATACAGCGCAATACTCCACCCCACAAAGGGACATGCCCATGGCGATAAACAGCACAACATTATTACCCCTGATAACCCAAGCTCCCTGTTAGGCGCTAGAAGGCTATAGTCATATGACTTATCCCACCGGGTACCCATATTTCTGCAGGGTGAATAGAGACAATTGTGAACAAACTCACTTTTCTAAGGTGAGACCACATGTGTCATCCAAGGACTCTCTGAACTCAAAGTTGCTTGGCTTAAATTGATTTGTGCTGACCTGAGCTCTATACACAGGAGCACACACCACATAAAGACGTTCAGCTTGTTTTTATATTTTGTTAACTTTGTTACCGGAAAGGACGTTGTTATTAACGATATCTCGTGGAATAATAAAAAAAAAAATATTTTTAAATCAAAGTAAAACCTCGTTTCTAAAATGATCCCGTTTTTACAGAAATATCTCGTTTGTATTGTATTTTAAATATCAAAGTATTTTTGCTGAGTTTTAACTTTGATTCTCACAGATCGACCTTTATTAATTCGCATTTTTGTTATCGTGTATCTACGACCAAGGTCAAGGACATGTTGGTGTCTGAAGGTGAGCATGCTGGGTAATTATTTTAGCATTTCTGTGACCATATTGTTAGAACCCCTGTCTCTCACTGAAAAGAGATTCTGGTTTCAGTTGTATTTTCCTACCTGAATTTAAAGTGTATATATTATATATATAACCGGGAGATATATTTAGTATATCCTGCACAGATAACCCTCGTTGTATCACATTGGGCTTTTTTAGAAGCACATTCATTTGTCTCACATTTGTACATGCAGACATTTAAACATGCGTCAAGTAATACTGGTGAAATATTGTATTTGTTTTGTCGATTCAGCAGCTCCGATATGGATTATAATATACTTTTAATGTCACGTTATATGTTTTTCATTCCTTAATTATTTAAATGGAAACGGTGACCTTCTTCTAAGACTGACTGACTGACTGAGTTTAGTTTTACGCCGCTTTTAGAATACAGCAATATCACGAGAAATATTTGAGTCCAACCCAGGCCTTTGGCGTGACGAGCCAACGCTTTAACCACTAGGCTACCCCACCGCCCCCTCTTCGTAGAAGGATTGAGTGGAAACAAGCAGAGGTATTTGAGTCCACCTACCTTGTTTGTGTACATAGCGAAGCACAGGGGCCTTTGTGAAAAAAAGACGTAATACCATGTACAGAGTTGTCGCCCTTAGTCATACTAGAATATGAAGATTATTGTCGAATGCCCTTCAGTTTCGAGTGAGTGAGTGAGTTAGGTTTTACGCCGCTTTTAGCAATATTCCAGCAATATCACGGCGGGGGACATCATTGTGCCCATGTGGGGATCGAATCCGTGTTTTCGGCGTGACGAGCGAACGCCTTAACCACTAGGCTACTCCACAACGCTTCAGTTTCGAAGTGACGCGGCGTGATATACTCGCTTCACTCGCTCATTTACATAAACAGCAATGTTATTTACTTCTGCTGTCCCCCGCCGTGATATTGGGGGGAAATTGCTTAAAGCGGCGTAAAACCATACTCACTTGCTAAACATAACCATGAAACGATCGATTCTGTCAGTCATGGATGGGCAGTGGAGAAGTGGTTGTTCTTCCCACCATAATCCAGTGTCGAGTCTACTCAGGAGTAAAATGTGTGAAACCATTTCTTCGGCATCTTGACTCTTTGGGCGGTGGGGTAGTCTAGTGGTTAAAGCGTTGGCTCGTCACGCCGAAGACCCGGGTTCGAATCTCCACATGGGTACAATGAATGAAGCCCATTTCTGGTTTCCCCCGCCGTGATATTGCTAGAATATTGCTAAAAGCGGCGTAAAACCAAACTCAGTCAGTCAGGCAGTCTTGACTCTTTCCGTGGCCCAGTTGACAGAGCGTTTCCCGGTGAGTAGAACGTCTCGGGTTCGATCCCCAATCGCGTCATACCTTAAGACGTTAAAGATGGTGCTGCGGATCAGTCTACTGTGTAAGAGGGGGGTATTCATGATAATCCTCCCCGTGATATCTAAATGGGATATCATTATGATATCGACTTTAGTCCGGACGAACACGCACACACGCACGTACGCACTCATATATGCACGCACTCGTCGCTAAATGAAATATTATTGAACCTGCCTGAACTGTTCGGCTGAACTCAGCTTTGGCTCCAAGGCTCCGACATGGCTGGACTGTTTCTGAAGGCTGCTGCTAAAGGTCTTCTCCCTTCAACTATGACGTCATATAAGCCTACCTCATTGTAGACATTTGGTTCAAAGTGTTTGCACTTAGACAGACATGGAGCTGCTGGAAAATAGTTCCAGAAGCACCATTGTTAATGAAAGGTATATCATCATGTGGATTAAAGGTATCTGATCTAGAAGCATCATGTGGATTAAAGGTATCTGATCTAGAAGCATCATGTGGATTAAAGGTACCTGATCTAGAATGATAATGCGGATTAAACGTATCTGATATAGAAGCATCTTGCGTATTAAAGGTGTCTGATCGAGAATCGCCGTGTTGATTAAAGGTATCTCATCTAGAATCATCATGTGGATTAAAGGTATCTGATCTAGAAGCATCATGTGGATTAAAGGTATCTGATCTAGAATCATCACGTGGATTAGAGGTATCTGATCTAGAATCATCATGTGGATTAGAGGTATATGATCTAGAATCATCACGTGGAGTAAAGGTATCTGATTTAGAAGCATCATGTGGATTAAAGGTATCTGATCTGGAATCATCATGTGGATTAAAGGTATCTGATCTAGAAGTATCATGTGGATTAAAGGTATCTGATCTAGAAGCATCATGTGGATTAAAGGTATCTGATCTGGAATCATGTGGATTAAAGGTATCTGATCTAGAAGCATCATGTGGATTAAAGGTATCTGATCTAGAAGCATCATGTGGATTAAAGGTATCTGATCTGGAATCATCATGTTGATTAAAGGTATCTGATCTAGAAGCATCATGTGGATTAAAGGTATCTGATCTAGAATCATCATGTGGATTAAAGGTATCTGATCTGGAATCATCATATGAATTAAAGGTATCTGATCTAGAAGCATCATGTGGATTAAAGGTATCTGATCTAGAAGCATCATGTGGATTAAAGGTATCTGATCTGGAATCATCATGTGGATTAGAGGTATCTGATCTAGAATCATCATGTGGATTAGAGGTATCTGATCTAGAATCATCACGTGGAGTAAAGGTATCTGATTTAGAAGCATCATGTGGATTAAAGGTATCTGATCTAGAATATTCATGTGGATTAAAGGTATGTGATATAGAAGCATCTTGTGGATTAAAGGTATCTGATCTGGAATCATCACGTGGATTAAAGGTAACTGATCTAGAATCATCACGTGGATTAAAGGTATCTGATCTGGAATCATGTGGATTAAAGGTATCTGATCTAGAATCATGTGGATTAAAGGTATCTGATCTAGAATCATCATGTGGATTAAAGGTATCTGATCTAGAATCATCATGTGGATTAAAGGTATCTGATCTGGAATCATCATGTGGATTAAAGGTATCTGATATAGAAGCATCTTGCGGATTAAAGGTATCTGATCTAGAAGCATCATGTGGATTAAAGGTATCTGATCTAGAATGATAATGCGGATTAAACGTATCTGATCTAGAATCATCACGTGCATTAAAGGTATCTGATCTAGAATCATCATGTGGATTAAAGGTATCTGATCTGGAATCATCATGTGGATTAAAGGTATCTAATCTAGAAGCATCATGTGGATTAAAGGTATCTGATCTAGAAGCATCATGTGGATTAAAGGTATCTGATCTAGAATGATAATGCGGATTAAACGTATCTGATCTAGAATCATCACGTGCATTAAAGGTATCTGATCTAGAATCATCATGTGGATTAGAGGTATCTGATCTGGAAGCATCATGTGGATAAAAGGTGTCTGATCTAGAATCGTCGTGTGGATTAAAGGTATCTCATCTAGAATCATCACGTGGATTAAAGGTATCTGATCGAGCACCACCGTGTGGATTCAAGGTACCTGATCTGGAAGCACCATTTGGATTAAAGGTATCTGATATAGAAGCATCTTGCGGATTAAAGGTATCTGATCTAGAATCGTCATGTGGATAAAAGGTATCTCATCTAGAATCATCAAGTGGATTAAAGGTATCTGATCGAGTACCACCGTTTGGATTAAAGGTACCTGATCTGGTAGCACCATTTGGATTAAAGGTATCTGATATAGAAGCATCTTGCGGATTAAAGGTATCTGATCTACAATCGTCATGTGGATTAAAGGTATCTGATCTAGAATCATCATGTGGATTAAAGGTATCTGATATAGAAGCATCTTGCGGATTAAAGGTATCTGATCGAGCACCACCGTGTGGATTAAAGGTACCTGATCTGGAAGCACCATTTGGATTAAAGGTATCTGGTCTGGAAGCACCATGTGGATTAAAGGTATCTGGTCTTGCACATTGCGGATTAACGATGTTCGGCCAAACTGCAATATTATAGAAAATACATTGTCGTTACAAACCTGTTACTGCAGTATGGCGATCGTCTACCTTCTGTATGTTTCAAGGGGAAAAAAAGTTTTATATTATTTTTGTTACGATGACACAGGTCACGAATTGATGAATTCCCACCATCATATGTCAAGCTTAAATTCACGCGGAAGTGATAATTCCGGCACTGATTGATGTGTCCTAATGTATGGGAGATGTTTACATCGCTGGTGAACTCTCACCATGTGTTGTTCCATGTATCACTAGTGATGCCTGTTGACACTCTATCCCGAAGATCCGGGAACCGATAGAGCATCTGGGGCGGTGGGGTAGCCTAGCGGTTAAAGCGTTTCGTCACGCCGAAGATCCAGGTTCGATTCCCCACATGGGTACAATGTGTGAAGACCATTTCTGGTGTCCCCCGCCGTGATATTGCTGGAATATGCCGAAAGCGGCGTAAAACTAAACTCACTTACTCTAAGATATCATCTGATCGATTTCAGCCAAACCACCTCAGACATACACTCATCACAGAAAATGACTGTAAACTCGTCATGGTGTCATGTTGTTTCGCAAAGAATGAAAAACATAAACAAGACTTGTCCCTCGCATTAAGTGCTTCTCAATAAAAAAATGAAAGAGGTTACTAATTTAATCTAAAAGTGCCGAGAAAAACAACTTCATACTCAAACGAATCGTTGCTGAAATCGATTTAAAATATAAAACATGAATATGTGATATGTCCTCTTTCGTCCAGCAGTTTACTTTGACCAGGCAGAGTCAACCATTCCCCAGTGTCAAGGCAGAATTTCAGTTAGAAATAATCAGGAACTGTGGTTTGGTGAATTTATAACAGTAAACAAAAACAACAAAGAAATGACGTTGAAGAAATGCAATACTTAATATCATCTCACATACATGCAGCAACGAATCCAGTTGTCTCCCTTGATGAATGTTCCACCATTTCACAACAAATGTGCATTTGCAATTTCATGTATTTTGATTTCATCTGTTAAATGATTATAAATAAATATATTTGTTTTAATTTGCCACTCCGTGTTAATTCTGAATCAAGAGAATGTTCAATGGTATACAGACCTACGGACTGAAGTTTAACATGAATTCTCTTGAGATGGAGATGGAACGTACATGAATCAAGGCGGATTAGACCTGCAGAGTTTCCTTCCTTGACTTGTTCAGAGCAGACGATAAGATAATTACGGGAACGGCGATTTTGAGGTTTTGTGTTGGAAATGCAGGGTTTAGAAAAGATGGATTGGTTCACGTTGTGCTTACAATACTTGATTATGTCTGTATGGCGTATTACTGCCCATAGACGTAAGGGTTTCCAAGAGATGGTAGCATTTCGGTGTTGTACACAATATAGATGGAAGCATTTCCGTTAGGTATACGTGAGTGAGTGAAGGGGGGGTGGGGGGTGTTACGCCACTTTTAGCAACGGTCCAGCAATATCACGGCGGGGACACCAGAAATGGGCTTCACATTCTGTACCCATGTGGGGAATCGAACCCGCGTGACGAGCCAACGCTTAAACCACAAGGGTACCCTACCGTCCCCGTTAGGTATACGAGTTCTAGAAGGGTGTCGGTTAGGTATGGTGGCTGATTAGGGCCATCGCTTTCTCGCCTTAAAATTCGGGAGGCGAGAAAGCGATATCTCGAGACGAGAAAGCGATAACACGAGACCTCGCGTTATCGCTTTCTCGTCTCGTGCTATCGCTTTCTCATCTCGTGTTATCGCTTTCTCGTCTCGTGATATCGCTTTCTCGATGTCTTGCCTCCGCATTTTAAGGCGAGAAAGAGATGGCCCTAATCAGCCACCATAGTTAGGCAATAATGGCGCGGTGGGCGAGCTGGCTAAGGCGCCAGGCTAGTGATCCAGCGAGGTTGAGGTGTCGGGATCGAGCCCACCTGTGACCGGGTGTAAAAACCTTTGAGTCAACTTTGTGTGCAGACTCTTTCAGTGTTGCCACAAGCCCTAGTGTACAGTACACAACCCTGTGCACTTAAAAGAACCCACGAATCCGTTGGTATATGACCAGATGGTGGCCACATGAATACGTGCAAACACCTAGTTGCGGGTACAGCAGCGTGCAGTGGACTTGGACAAAGTACTGTGACTATATGTCCCAGTCCACCAAGCTGTGAATGGGTACATCGTTAGGATGAGAAAGCCACAATAACTCGGTGCGCCTAGTGGCTGCAAGAGTTGTATAGCCTACACCCAGTGCCGTTGAGTTTGACATCAATGATCGACCCAAGGGAGTTGAGATCGATTATACGATGTGCCGTTGAGATTGACATCCAATGATCAAGCGGAAAATACCAGCGACTTGAGCATGCACTAGGATTTTTAAACGCGGATGTCCGTGCAAAGGTGTGCCTGCATATGTGCACTATATAAATATCTTATTAAAAATAATATCAAATAAGTCAATCCCTGAACCACATTGTTTTCCCTACTCCCTAGCCCTCCCTGCAATGTAGCCTACCTCACAGTCCCTGAACCACATTATTTCCCCTACTGCCTAACCCTCCCTGCAATGTAGCCTACCTCACAGTCCCTGAACCACATTATTTTCCCTACTGCCTAACCCTCCCTGCAATGTAGTCTGTCTCACAGTCCCTGAACCACATTATTTTCCCTACTCCCTAGCCCTCCCTGCAATGTAGCCTACCTCACAGTCCCTGAACCACATTAATTTCCCTACTGCCAAGCCCTATCTACAGTGCTAAAGCCCTAAATAAAGCAAGTCTAGATTTTTTTCAATTTAAATGGGCTAGTTTGTTACTATCAAAGTTATATATATTCAGAGACTAAGCGTTAGTCTACAGACAACGGAAGTATACTCTAATGTGGGTCTGACAAACACCAGATATATTTTTGCCAGATTCTATCTACTTAATCGATATTTAAGCATTTTCTTCGATGAAACCATTTTTGAAGTAATTGTAAAAATAGTGTTGATATGATCATTCCATGCCGTGTTTTGTGATAATGTAATACCAAGATGCAGTCTACCCTTTCGATACACGCGTTTTTTAAAATAAGCGTTGGTACTTCATTTGAGATTTTATGTGAGAATAGTATATATATATACTTGGTTTTGTTAGGATTGAATTGTACTAACCATGTTTGTGCCCACTTTTGTAAGTTGCATAGGTCTTCATTCAATGTCTTCATTCAATGTGAGGGGCGGTGGGGTAGCCTAGTGGTTAAAGCGTTGGCTCGTCACGCCGAAGACCCGGGTTCGAATCCCCACGTGGGTACAATGTGTGAAGCCCATTTCTGGTGTCCCCCGCCGTGATGTTGCTGGAATATTGCTAAAAGCGGCGTAAAACCAAAACTCAGTCAGTCAGTCAGTCAGTCATGCAATGTGTTTGAGTGTGACGTACTGTAAATGTGAGTGAGTGAGTATGGTTTTACGACGCCTTTAGCAATATTCCAGCAATATCACAGAAATGGGCTTCACACATTGTACCCATGTGGGGAATCGAACCCGAGCGAACGCTTTAACCACTAGGCTACCCCCACCGCCCCGTGACTATACTATATCTCCAGTAGATACACAAGGTAAGAACACCATGACTACAGTGAGATCTGTGACGGGATGCTGGATCCATGAAGGTCTGTGTGTAGACGGTATGAAGTAACCTCGGTGTATGTGGTGGTCGGCAGGAAACTTTTGACTTGAATGACCGACCTCCTATTGATATATTTAAAGGAAATTCAAGAAGCTGAAGTAGACCCCTCGAAAACAACATGCACAATAATACAATTTCAGCTTGATTTAAACAGAATCACAGCTGTCACATTTAAGACTGACTGACTGACTGAGTTTGGCTTTACGCCGGTTTTAGCAATATTCCAGCAACATCACGGCGGGGGGACACCAGAAATGGGCTTCACACGTTGTACCCATGTGGGGATTCGAACCCGGGTCTTCGGCGTGACGAGCCAACGCTTTAACCACGTGCACTAGACTACCCCACCGCCCCCACATTTAAGAGAACTTGGGAGAAATCATACAGATTGCTGGGAACTGGAGATTTAACTGTAAGAGTTAGATTATGTGTTAAAACTCAGCTAAGTGACCCAGCTGGTCCCTGTGTCTCTACTTGAAACAAATGCGGAATACAAGCGTAGCCGCACAGAGAGCGGCCTACCAGTTTAACTGTCCGCCGCTGGAGACGAGGGATCCGATCCGAGAAAAGCGTCGTTCGGATTTGATATGTATATCGACCTTTGTTCCGTCTCACTGCACTGAAGGTTGCCAGTGCTGCGCAAAAATATGCATTGCACAACGGGGAACTTGTTGGTACATGTATCTGAATAAATAGAGACAGAAAATAATCAAAATCTGTAAGCTAGCGAAGGAATGTAATCAATGTATGTGACGACACGAGGAAAATACTCAGAATTAGGATGCATATGGGTCTAACTCGCCTGATATTGTCAAGTTCTCTTATTCCGTGAAACAACAACATCAATAGTAAACATCAAATATTCCTTTTACATGGGTACACAGACATACATAAATATATAGTGCAAAATAATCCTGTTGACAGCAAAACGCGCCCTCTATTCAATAATATACGAAATGGTGTTGTCTTGCGCAGGTGTAAAGACAATCAACACCCTCGCTATACCGCACGTTGTAGATCCATCTCTCTGCGAGATATTGGCACATAGTTTCTTCACACTTTCACCACCACCTATTCCACGTTACAACGGGACTGTGTAACCACTGCTTACGCTTGTCATGCCGACGCTCCAGCCCTTGTCATCGTTATACCGCGGTGCTGATAGTTGTTCTATAAATAGCTAACCAGGTCAACTGGCTCTGCGCGGAGTTGCAATCAGCTGTTCGGCACAAAGACAGCTACAATCTGCAGCCGAGGACTATCATGCCCAGATGCGCTTGAAATATAAACAAAAGACAGAGATATAAGGTAAGGCTTGACCACCGCATTGCTTATGTAGACAATTTATATATTTTTCAACCAAAGCTGTTAGAATAAGATTTCCAGCGAGTTCATTGTTTCGTTGGCTTTGTGACGAAACATGTATGTCTATTTCAACCAATTCGGTTTGTTTTGATTTCTGTTTCATAGAACTGTGGCCGTGTCGATCGAGTAGTACGAGTTAGGGTATTATATATGTATGCAGGATCATATAAGGATCAAATTTGGGTACAGTCGTACCCCAGAAATCATTTCACGACTCTCCCCGCTAATCGTGTCGCCTTTTCAACCGTAGACCCCACTGAGATGAAGTGCATGACGTCTAAAGATCGTGAGATGCACTCTGTGTACCTTAAACTAAATATATTTCTGCATTACTTCGAGGGCTCGGTGTACGTGTTAATTT